CGCTTCTATTGATAGAACTGCACGCGGCCGACTTTGCCCAATGAATGATAAAGCAGGGTATAGAACAAAGATAAAGATCCCCGTATAGCCCTAACCGACCGTTGGGGCAAGTGCTGTTAGCGAATATCACCTATGAAAGGCCGGAACGGTACACGAGGGGGGCCAGCACCACGCACAAACCGACACAAACACGCACGAAGACAAACAAACACACACCACAACATTGCGCATTCAGACCACGAGCACTCTCGTCAGATCCTGTTTCCAGTAATCATCAGCCGTGGTCCATCCACTGATGGTGCACGTCGTTTAGGAAGCGTTTCCATCCCTCAGCTTCCGCTCCGTTATTATTGATGACCGCTCACCATTGCCCCTTCTGGTCGAGACGCGTCCTGCCCTAGCACCACTGGCCTTTCTCATCAGTCGTAACCCTCCACCACCCGACACGGCCAATCAGCAAAATAAAATGTCACGTTGACAAAAGACATTTAGTTCACTACAATAGCCCACCGGTGTGTTGAAGAGTGAATCCACAACATTTACAGTTTGAATTCGACGTTTCGCTGGTAAATACATCCAGCATCATCGGGCAATTCGCCAGAATTCTGGCGGATGTAATTACCAGCGAAACGTCGTATTCAAACTGTAAATGTTGTGGATTCACTCTTCAACACACCGGTGGGCTAAGTAGTGAACTATTTGTCTTTTGTCAACGTGACACTTTATTTTGCTGATTGGCCGTGTCGGGTGGTGGAGGGTTACGACACATTTATAAATAACGCGATCTAACCCAAAAACCTTTATTATGAATAATATTGGTCGCGAAAGCCTACCCTGTTAAACTTTCTCATCAGATTGAATAATGACATTCTGACATTAACCGGCACATCTTCTCTGATCCACGCGCTCCTCTTTCTGTCTCTCAGTCTAATTCCACAAGCACGCATTTCTCCACGCTTCTTTGCACACTTTGAAAGAAAAAATTGTTCCGTATTTTGTTGTTATTTTTATGTTGTTGTTGAACATGTTGCATAAATCATGGCATTGCAGGTAGTATATATATTTAAATTGTATCTGTGTTTTTTCCCCACTCGAGGTACTTTTCCTCCACTTAAACTTTCATGGGCACCCAACAAACGGCAGCCAAGTAAGAGGGCCGCCTGTTAATGGCGATTTGTAGCGCGGCACAGAGTATCCGCAAACGTCTGCACACAAGCGGTCAACCGCTCGACCACTCGGCCACGTAACCACTCGATTACTTAACCACCCGGCCACTTAACCCCAAGATTACTAAGACCACTCGGCAACTTAACCCCTCGACTACTCAGCCACTCGACCACTTAACCACTCGACTAGTAAACCACTCGGCCACTTAACCACTCGACCACTAAACCACTCGGCCACTGAACCACTCGACCACTAAACCACTCGACTAGTAAACCACTCGGCCACTGAACCACTCGACCACTAAACCACTCGACCATCTAACCACTCGACCATTTAACCACTCGACTAGTAAACCACTCGGCCACTGAACCACTCGACCACTAAACCACTCGACCACTAAACCACTCGACCACTAAACCACTCGGCCACTAAACCACTCGACCACTAAACCACTCGACCATTTAACCACTCGAGTACGCAGCCACTCGTCCACATAACTACTCGACCGTGGCACCCAGCTCTGTGTTAGGCGCGAAGCGGTGAGAACCCCCAAATTGGGAGACGGTGATCCCAAGCCCATTTTCCTTGCTGCCCCTAAATCCGTGGTGGGCATGACCGGCATCATCTGTGGGATTACACAGCGGCTCAATCCATGTTTTGATGGAAAAGCAAACCCCCCCCTCCCCCACCAAAAAAAAGGCAACCCACGTGTACACGTGTCACTGGATTAATTGCGATCTGGACCAAGCTTTTAATCTGGAATTAAAGTGCGTGCGTGCGTGTGTTTTTTTTTTAAGGGGAGCGATAGTGTAGCGGTTAGCGCTACGCTGCGCTATGAACCTGGCGACCCGGGTTCGATTCCCGCTCACGGCCAACACCAGTGGCGATTACCTGAACCGGTCCCGGGCCTCCCCTAGGTCGATTCAGCCTCAAATAAGTACCTGGTGCGGTGTGTAAACATTGCCACTAGGGAGACAAAGGCGGTCGGGCGTGGTGCTGGCCACCCACCCCCTCGTGTACCGTTCCGGCCTTCATAGGTGCTCGCTAACAGCACTTGCCCCTACAGTCTGTTCAGGCTATACGGGGGATCTTTGTTTGTTGTTTATACATCGGCCAATCATCTCAGTCAGTCGACCCACGGCACCTGCTGAATCTCTCCCGTTAACTTCTGCCAGCGGGCGTTGGACAGTTCACGTCGCCTTAACATGCACATAGCCTGGCACAAGCGCCGTGGTGACGAATGGCGGTTGTTGACAAAAACCACAACTAGAACAACAACAAAGTCGACAACTCCAACAACAACCACAACAACAACAAAGACAATAATTACAACAACAAAGGCAACAACAACCACGCAAACAATGAAGACAACAACAATAACAACAACTACTACAACAAAAGCGGTTCGATGGGGCGATGCCACGCAATATCGGCCGCGTGTGATGGACAATGGGAAGGGCAAGGGGCTGGTCAATCTTGATATGAAGCTTTCGTGACTGAAGGAATCCATACTCTTTGGTTCTTTCGGTAAAGTCGCGTGGGTATAAAAATAAAATAAATAACGATCGCAAAACAAGCGGTCATCCCCAGGTGGAAAAAATATATATATATAAATCCAGCAGTTCCACTGAAATCACGGCCGCGTGATTTCACAGCAGTTCCACTGCTGCATTTATTTTATTTATTTTACTTTATACCAGCGGCTGGTCGTCTGTGTCCACGGAACGCCTCTCGTCTCGGGGTGTAGCAGAGCTCGGCAACCTTTCGATGGAGAAGGAGAATAAGAAGAGGAGGAAGAAGGGAAAGAAGAGGAAGAGGAGGAAGAAGACGAGGAAGAAGACGAGAAAGAAGAGGAGGAGGAGGAAGAAGAAGGAGGAGACATTATTTTGTTTGTTTTTGACTTTGATCGACAGAGTCGGAGAGCCGCGTCACACGCCTCAGAGGCAGTTGAGCACAGACACAGCGGGTACACAACAGAGCGACAACAACAACAACAACCTGACTCAGACACAACAGGTGATGGAATAAACCGCGTCTACCCCCCCCCACCTCCCACACAGACCTTAGTAATTATTTCACAATCTAGTTGGACTGTTGTACATGTTGCTGTCACCAAGACATTCCATAGTGACCCATCATTCCCTGCCAGTTTTCGTTTTTAAATCAATGATCTTTACGTTACATTGTGCTTTCAGATGTACGTTGTTGTTGTTGTTGTTCTTGTTGTTATTCTTGGTGTGAAAACCACACCTGATGACGATTGCTTGTGTTGCGATCGAAACTTCGTGAGAATTTCATTTGTATTATTTTATTATTTCCCTTCTACGTGACTTTAACGAAAGAACCAATAATATGAATCCCTGCTGTCACGAAAGCTTTAAATCGAAAAAAAAGTCGCGTTGTTGTTGTTATTGTTGTTGTTAAACGGCTTCCCGCACAGGGGCAGCCAGAGTGCCGCCGCTTGCCCCACCGGGACCGCAGCTTACCGACTCCTGGGGTATTCGGTACCCCGGGCACGGGAGAGGGGACGGGTCAGGGTCAGAGTGTCCTGACGACGCAGTCGATGCTACTGCTGCCGCCCCTTCGCTAGTCTCGAGTCTACACTCTGCGGGCAGCTGGAAGTCACAGCGCTGCCCGGAAACGGAGAGCAACAGCGTGTAACGGGCGAACAAAATTGGGACGAGGGAAGTGGGTTGGGGATGGCGGGGCGAGAGAGAGAGAGAGGTTGGATTACATGTCCGCCACACACGCAGCTGATAGCGATTGGCTACAATTTCAATGCATTTCCATTTCGCCCCCCAGCATCAAATCGAGATGAGCTGCACTCTCTCGCCAGTGCGTGCGTGCGGGTGTTTGTGTATGCGTGTGTGTGTGTGTGCGAGGGTGTATGTAAGTGTGTGTGCGATTGTGTGTGTGCGTGTGTATGCGTGTGTGTGTCTGTGCAAGTGTGTGTGTGTGCGAGGGTGCGTGTGAGTGTGTGTGCGATTGTGTGTGTGTGCGTGTGTGTGTTCACAGTGGGGAACGGTGGCACAGTGGTTAGCGCGCTGCGCTACAAAGCCGGCCACCCGAGTTTGATTCCTGCTCAGGGCCAACACCGGTGACGATTACCTGGACCGGCCCTGCGCCTCCCCGAGATCTAAACAGCTTCAAATGAGTACCTGGTCCAGTGTGCAAATTTCACCACTGGGGAGACAAAGGCGGAGGGGCGTGGTGCTGGCCACCCACCCTCTTGTGCACCGTGTCAGACGTGACAGGCGCTCGCTAGCAGCACTTGCACCAACAGTCTGCGAAGTTCTTTGCTCTGTCTGATTGTACGTATCTTGAACTTATTTCGCACAGTACGCAAGCCAAGCGTACCACGCGGTGTATAGAAGGCAAGGGGATGCACTGACGCATTAAAACACTCGCCGCAGATTCTGTCAAGGGACCATCCATAAATGACGTCAAAGCTCTGCCCCCGCCCCCCCCCAAAAAAATAATAATACGACATGCTTCAAATTGCTTTAAACAATTGTCATTGTAGCGCGTATTTAATGTGCCGCTGCACTCTGATGTTGTAGGAGAAAACATTTATCAAAAAGTCTATTTAATTAAGGAGAACGTGTTGTCTATATTTATTTAAAATTGCGCATTTTGATGTGACGTCACATTTCCCACCCCCCACCCCTTAGGTGCGTGACGTCATTTATGGACGGCCCACAACTCATAGCCGCGTGCCACTACGGAGCGACCGCGAAGTCTGTCCCTTAGACCCCCCCCCTCACCACCCTCCTCCACGGACTCCCCCCCCCCCAATCCGGTTCAGCGTCGACTACAAGATCACCCGTCACCGTGGTGTTAACCACCGTTGGCGACGTACGGTGCGAAAGAAGTTCAACATACGTACAGTACATGCGGTACCTAATGGCCGGTCAACAACTTTTATCCGCCGTTCGTCCTCTCTGGCCTGCGGCTTGCTGGCTATGAAGAAGCTCAATTGCCCGAAGCAACAACGACTATATCCTCTTTATTCTCATAACCACGCGGTCTTATTGACGGGAATTATACAACACCGCACAATTAAGTGTTTTGTGTGTGTGTGTTAGATCGCCTAAATATAAATGCGTCGTAAAAACCCACCACCGCACGAAACGGCCAATTAGTAATGCTTGTCACGTAAACAAAACGTGCCAATTAGTTACTACATCGGCACACTGGGTGTGTCGGAGAGTGAACCCACGACAATGAAAACATGTGGGGAGGACAGCAAGCGATGCGAGACTACAGCTGCTCCGTCTGTGTGGCATCGAGTGTTTCCCCCTCGCACTCTTGGGTTTTCCTGCGGCTGCTCGGCTTTCCTCCCGCATGTAAACGCTCACCAATTGGCCGGTGACACCCTAAATAAATATAGAGGACATGCAGAGCTTGGGCAATTTGTTGGTAGCTCCGTGCTCCGCAACGCGTGGCTGCTTCCTTCCCGCTCCTCGTCAGTGGCTCCTCTTCATCCTCCTCCTCCTCCTCGCGCCCCTGAATCTCTCTGTTTTAAACCACTATTGTTGTTGTTATTCAGTAAATCAGTTGTTGTGACGATGACGCTAATGCACATGCCGAGCAGAGAAGAAAAGCAAAGACGAAATGTGCATCGGACAACCGCCGGGCTTGTCGCTTGCCCATGGATCGTGATGATGATGACGACGACCCTGTCACTCGTTCTCCCCAAGACCGGCGAGCAGTCGATAGGTGGCAGTGCAGGCCGCGACAATGAAGCGCCACCTTATCAGCCATCATCTCGTGAGTCTTTTCATGTCTCTCGCACGGCTTTTGATGTGGACGCGGAGCTTACACACAACAGCGATTTCACGTTCAGGCGGGCAAGCCGCAGACAACCGCGTGATGAGCAGTGGAGTGTGTCACCGTCGCTGCGATGTCTCCCTCCTCGCGTTTGCGGCAGATTGCGGATAACTGATGCACAAATGGAAATCAACAAGACAAAAAACATATCTCCAGCGTGCGACCGTGGGCATCCAGAACAGGCCGTGCAACGGAGAACGACGCAATTCCCCTAAAACAGCACAGGCGTGGCTCGTGGAGGTATTGACAACTCAACGCCTCCATGGAAACTCACTAAAATCATGCCGCAGCTGCCAGAGCCATGAGCTTCACGTGGCAATAAATCACCTTCACGTTTTCTCCACCGATCATTTGTTATTCTTGGTTCTTTCGGTAAAGTCACGTAGAAGGGAAACAATAAAATAATAAAAATATTAAACAATAAAATTCTCACGACGTTTCGACTGCAACACAAGCAATCATCATCAGGTGTGAAAACCACAGCAAGGTGGACTCGTCCATCTGAATAACTGCCAAATCGCTCTCCGTGGTGCTAACATTAAAAAAACGGCCACTTTTTTCAAATTTTCTTGCTGTGGTTTTCCCACCTGATGATGATTGCTTGTGTTGCAGTCGAAACGTCGTGAGAATTTTATTGTTTTATATTTTTATTATTTTATTGTTTCCCTTCTACGTGACTTTACCGAAAGAACCAAGAATATGAATCCCTGGAGTCACGAAAGCTTTAAATCAAAATCTATCATTTGTTGTTACACGTATGTGCCATATTGAGAATAGGGATATTTGTTGAGACCCGAGGAATCCGATGAACTATGAAGCTCTTTTTCACAGATGTCCAGCAAGTTACAACGACAACAGCAACGACAAGATAGGAGTGCCTAAAAGAGAACAGGTAAGCAAGTCAGGAAAAAAACATTTAATAAGGTATATAAGTACAAATTGCAAACGTACAAACATTCTTGCCGAATGTTAGTCGGGACCAAGGGCCCTTCAATAGGACCGATTGCTAGAATGCGTCATGGTAATGACGAGTGACAATAATTAGATGTGTTCATTCATTCATTATTATTATTATTTATTGGGACGCTGCAGTGTTGTGAGAGAAGGGCGCGTCCACCGTGAGTCCAGGTCGCCCCTTTCGACTCGGGGCGCCGCGGTGGTGAGATGTTAACCACCTCGCCTGGTATACGGGAGGTTCGCGAGTTCGTGAGGTTCGTGAGCTCGTGAGTTCGAACCAGACCCTGACGCCTGCCGGGTCCCTCCGGGTTTTCCCTGCACATTTATAATCAACACGCGTTCAGAGTTTTGGGCTGCGATATAAATGTCTACTTGATGATACGCAACTTCGTCGAGTTATCATTTGTGATATCCAGATGTTTAGTTTGTTTTTAAATGCTCCTCCCCTACCTCTCCCCGATCCCCTTCCTCGCCCAGCTCCCCTGTCAATACGGCGGTCTAAATGGCAACGCAAAGCGCAGTTCAAGTCCATTGTCAAGTCGCGCGTGGTGGGGTAAAGTGTGAGCGCTGTTGTCTTCCTCTTACAAGATAGCGTGGGAGAGGAGGCCGAACATCACTCTCTGCAGGGCCTCTCCAGAGCTTCTTGTGGAGTGGAGGCCCTCCCGCCAGCAGTGGAGGGAGCAAGCAGCAGCAGGGCTGCGCCTCTAACTAATACTTTCATAGTACGTGGTAGGATGGCGATGACGCATTATCAACAATACATTATTAACAATGCATTATCAACAATACATCTAAACAATACATGTAAACGATACATATCAACAATGCATTATCAACAATGCATTACCATCAATGCATTATCATCAATGCATTATCATCAATGCTTTATCAACAATGCATTATCATCAATACATTATCAACAATGCGTTATCATCAATGCATGATCAACAATGCATGATGAACAATGCATTATCGACAATGCATGACCAACAATTAATGATTAACAATGCACGATCAACAATACATTATCAACAATATATTATCCAAGAAAGTGCTTTTGAATAGTGTAGACATATTTTGCTATTCTAGAAAACCTGCTTTAGCTCTTGGATTCATTGTGATCGAAGAATGATAATAATACAACTTAATCGTTCGTTTAGAAAAAGGCCTAGTTTGGAATTGGTACCCTTGGCAAAACACGGGGGGTATCTTGTTATAAAAGAGACATCTCGAAGGATCTGGTAACAAATTGAAATAAATCCGAAGGCAATGCTGAAGGAATCTTGGTGTGTTGTCGTGGGAATTTAAGAATTGTTATTGCATCCCCCCCCCCCCCACCGAGAGGAATTGAGTGTGTGGGTAAAGGTGTGTGCGTGTGTGAGCATGTGTGTGTGGGTGTGTGTGGGTGTGTGTGGAGTGGTGGTGTAGCGGTCAGCGCCCTGTGCTATAAACCCAGCGATCCGAATTCGATTACCGCTCACGTCCAACACCAGTGACCATTATCTGAACCGGTCCAGGACCTCCCCTAGGTCGACTCAGCCTGAAATCGGTACCTGGTGCGATGTGTAAATATCGCCACTCGGGAGACAAAGGCGGCCGGGCGTGGTGTTGGCCACCCACCCCCTCGTGTGTCGTGCCGGCCTTCATAGGTGTTCGCTAACGGCACTTGCCCTAACAGTCTGCTGAGGCTATACGGGGGATCTGTGAGTCCGTGTGTGAGTGCGTGTGTGAGTGCATGTGTGAGTGCGTGTGTGTGCGTGTGTTCGTTTATTTATTGCCTCTGCTTGGGATCGTGAATGTGGCTTATGGGAAAAGAACGCTACAGAAATGACACTGGAGCAGAAAGTCGGAATGTAATTGAACACCTTTTTATTTAAAGAGTGTCGACACTGCATTGCGCCTTTTTCTGCATCCCCTTTGCACCGTCTTCATGTTGAACTCTACAGCAGTGCACAGCCCTTTGCGGAACCTAAGACCAATCGTCTGGGAACGAAAAAAAACAACAATTGAGAGGTGACTCCGATGTCAGAGGTCAGAGCGCCGAGCTGGCAACGCTGAGATCCTGGGTTCGAGTGACAGGTATCGGCCGCTGCTGTCCACGGTGATTATTAAACGCAGTGAGTTGATGGTCTTATCCCGGTCACCAATTACTCGCATAGAGACTCACAGACTCACATAGTGACCCATAGACTCACACAGAGACCCATAGACTCACGTATAGACTCATAGACTCACATATAGACTCATAGATTCACATAGAGACCCATAGACTCACACAGAGACCCATAGACTCACGTAAAGACCCATAGAATCACGTATAGACTCATAGATTCACATAGAGATCCATAGACTCATATAAAGACCCATAGACTCACATAAAGACCCATAGACTCGCATGAAGACTCATAGACTCGCATAAAGGCTCAGACTCACATAGTAACTCATAGACTCACATAGTAACTCATATACTCACATTGAGCCCCATAGTCTCACATAAAAACCCATAGAAACACATGGAGACCCATAGACTCACATAAATACCCATAGAAACACATAGACTGAGATGTGAGCAACCAGGTTTTCAAGTGCAGTTAGTTGATGATCTCAACCTAAATTTTGACAGGTTCTCTGCAAGCCATCTTTGCTACCATGAGAGATTCGTTCATGAGGCTATCCACATATACAAACACAGAGACAATTTCAACCGAGAAGATGGATTCTGGCTCAGCAATCATTGGAAGGATTTGATAAACCATTCCGGGTCTTAATTGATTGAGTTCACGCATACGGTGACTTTCAGACCGCATTCCATTCTCTTTCTATCTCCCCCCTCCTCCGTTCCGAGCATAGATGGACTCGTCCGTCTGAACAACCGCCAGTTGCTGTCCGTGGTGCTAACGTTAAGAAAAAAACGCCACTTTTTTCAAAATGTCTTGCTGTGGTTTTCACACCTGATGATGATTGCTTGTGTTGCAATCGAAACGTCGTGATGATTTTATTGTTTTATTTGTATTATTTTATTATTTCCCTTCTACGTGACTTTACCGAAAGAACCAAGAATATGATCTCAACCTAGTCACCAAAAAAAAAAACCGCTTCACATTTAACGTTGCTTCTGTTGCTCAAATGTGGCTACATTCGAGAGCTCTGAGAATGAACAAACTCAAGTAAATGTATATCGGCTTGACCATCACGGGGCCCGGTGCGCTCGACGCAGCAGCCGGCGTGTCCAGGCGGAGCCGCGCACATTCCTGACGGCCAAAAAACAAAACCAAAACAAAAGCAAAGGTACGGCGACATCACGGCGCCCCCGAGGCCCTCTCGTTCCCAGCGAGCGCGCGAGGGGTTACCCTAATTGGTGGGAGGGAGTGGGCACCTTTGGATAATAACGATGGCCCCCGCAGCCTGACGAAAGACGCAGAACCCAAAAGGTCCAAGCCGCGCTCGACAACGACGAAGCGCTGACCGGCGCCTTGGAGGAAGAGGGCCTCCACGCGACAAGACTTGGAGGGGGCCCAGCCCGGTGGTGGCGCAGCGGAGGTCGGGGTCGCCGAGTCCGAGATCTCGAGAGTTCACATCGACGATTCACCTCCACCACCACCCCCGAGGTCGCCGCCCGTGATTAAAAATCCCGGGTTCACAAAGGGCAGTGGGGTAATATGGCTCAGCCCCGTCACCTGCACGGAGACCCATAGACTTACGTAGAGACCCATAGACTTAAACAGAGACGCATAGACTTACATAGAGACAAATAGACTTACATAGAGACCAATAGATTGACACAGAGTCGCATAGACTTACACAGGGACTCATAGACTTACATAGAGACCCAGAGACTTACATAGAGACCCATAGACTTGCATATAAACCCATAGGCTTACATAGAGACCCACAGACTTACATAAAGACCAATAGACTTACACAGAGACACATAGACGTACACATAGACTAATAGACTTACATAGAGACCCACAGACTTACATAGAGACCCATATACTTACATAGAAACCCATAGACTTACATAGAGACCCATAGACTTACACATAGACTCATAGACTTACATAGAGACCTATAGACTTACGCAGAGACTCATAAACTTGCATAGAGACCCATAGACTTACATAGAGACCCATATACTTACATAGAAACCCATAGACTTACACAGCGACCCATATAATCACATAGGAGAAGCCATCGACTTACATACAGAGATCCATAGCCCTACATATGGAGACTCATAGACTTACATACGGACACCTGTAGACCCATATACGTATAGACAGAGACCCATATACTTACATTGACATGTATCCAAAGAGTGTTGATTGATTAAACAAAATACAACCCAGAAACGTTTAATCCACAGACCTGGACTCTATCAGAATGAATCTGAAACACAAGACAAGTTGCTCGTTTGTATCACTCAATTGTTTACGTGGGCTGAAGCCATCAACTCGCGACACCTGAAAATCCATTTCAATCAGGCCCGGGTGCAACCGAGGATCGAACTCAGGCGTTCTAACCAATGAGTGGGATACACTCCCCATTGTGTTCAGGATGCGCCGGGTCTGATGAAAACCGTTCTGAGATGTCACCCCATTGTGTGCCTCCCGTCCATCACTCCCTCCCCTTCTTCCTCCCCGCTCCCCCCTCCACCACCACCCCCCTCCTCCTGCTGCTCCCCCTTCTCCCTCCCCCTCCTCCTGTCCCTCCCCCACCACTCCCTCCCCCCTCTCTCCCCATTCTCACCGCGTCTCTGTGTACGGGAATCCGCAGTTCCAAGTCGCCACGTCGTGTGTCGCTTCGCACGCACGCTGCCGATTTACTGGCGGAAGGTGTCCTCGTCACTAGCGCGATGTTTCGCACGCGCGTTTTCCTCTTTTGTGTCAACGTTGCGCGGAAAAAATAAATTCCTCGCGAAATGTTTGAAGGACGCACGCGGTGAAAGCCGTGCGACATGTCGCACCGCGTTGCTTCGCGACTCGGGACTCAAATCGCTTAGTCCGCTTGGGTCCATCTCACCTAATCCTGCTTTTTATTTCCTATTATTTGTTATTGTTTCAAATCTATATATTTAGATGGAAAAAAACCCCATCTATTCTGGCCATTCTCAATCCACTGCTGATTGAAGGCCTCCCCCGCACATTCTCGGTCGTTGAGGTTTTTTGTTTTGTTTTCACCATACTTCACCATGCTGGTCAGTGCACGTTTGGTGAAGGGGGGAGACGGACAGGGACTGCTTTTGATCACTTGCCAAAGCTGTTAGCCCGGAGCCAGGAATCCAACTGGGACTGCTGCGTTCGTAGCGCTGCGCGATGACCCAGTTCCAACACTTCACTCCTCAAAAAAAAAAAACGTTCCCACAAAATATGTAATTCACCATCTCAGCATCATGTTGTAATCATCTCAAAATCTGTCCGGTATTTGCTCTACATTGACCATTCTCTTCTATTCTTGCCCATGGCAATGCGGTGCAGGAGCTCGATGTCAACGTCGACTTTTGCTGCTGATGGCCACGACGAGAGGGCTTCAGTAGATAGAGAGAGAGTTCGTGTCGCTGTTCCTCATCCTCCTCCGTTCAAGAAGCGCGCAGATAACACAGTGGGTTCACTGTGTGGTCAATAGTTGTGGGTTGCATGGCCACAATCACATCGCTTTGGCTCGTGTATTTAATGTATCCCCTATTAATCTACTTGGGTCTCTATGAGTCTACTTTATCTAGATGTGTCAATATGGGTCTCTATGAGTTATCTCTGTATCTCTTTGTGTCTCTATGTGTTTACTGTGTGGTCCATAGTTTGGTTTCTATGGCCACAATCTCACTGTTGTGGCTTGTCTTTAATGTACCTCTATGAGTCTCTCTGGGTCTCTGGATCTCTATGAATCTCCACGTGTCTCTATGAGTCTCTATGGATCTCTACGGGTCTCTATGTATCTCGATTTGTCTCGAAGGGCGTATTATGTTGTCCATAGTTTGGGTTGCATGCCCAAAATCGCGCTGTTGTGGCTCGTCATTAATGTGCCTCTGTGAGTCTCTCTGGGTCTCTGGACCTCTATGAATCTACATGTGTCTCTATGCGTCTCTATGTATCTCTGCGGGTCTCTATGTATCTCTATGGATCTCTATGAGTTTACTCTGTGGTCCACAGTTTGGGCTACAATCGCACCCCAGTCACACCTCTTCATATTTTTCCATGAACATTTCCTGTACGTTGGTCTATTATTTTGTGTGCATAAAACTACCGTGGCCTAACCACCAGGACAGATATCGATCATCATCA